CCTTCCATACGTCCTCTACAACCTTGACCCATTCCGTGGGTTGCCTACCCCTCTCTTTGTTTGCCCACTTCGCCTCCCATACAATCCTCGGCAACCTCTCCTCTCCCATCCCGCACATGCGATACTGCAATGTCAGCTTCCTCGCGTCTCTTCCCGACCGTAGGGATTGGATCCCCAATTCTGCCCTGACGGCTGCATTACTTTTAGGGGAGGGGGGGGGCGAACTCAGTGGTCTGAACGTAGACTATGCGTTCAAGGTCTCGTGTGGCGAAGTAAATTTACCGCCGTGCAACACGCAAGTTTCGCACACTGCTCCGTACACTGGTGGTGCAACCGTAGCCCACCGGCATGAGAGCAGTTCTTTCGCCGCCACTCAACCTTCTCGGTAACACCAACCTGCCCTCGTGGAGTAGACTTCTAGAGCACCCCCATCGTTCGCCGTGAGTATCGGGCAGTCCTTTGTGCGGCTAGAGAACAAATGTAGCCCCCCTACCCTTCCGCACACGTCTCGTGGCACACAGTGTTTGCATTTGTTTACGTACGAGGTGGTCAGCTACCACTTGAACGCCAGTGAGCGCAGAAAGTATTGGGGACGACAACAAACGAAATTCGAACAGCGCGGAACAAAATGACCCCCGGTTCCGCGCGGTGGTTTCGGCCGCCGGCATTTCCCCGCCTCCAGACGTTTCGCTCCGGTCCTTAGCGAAGCTCTTCTACATACGCACTCGCTCGAGAATAAGCTCAGGCCCGCCGGCCCCTCACGGCAAGGGGGACCCACATTCCACCCCTACCGTAAACACCACCTGTACAGAATATCCATGACCCGCATTCCAATTCCAAGAGGAAAGCTCCCGTGGCTCCAGCGAGCAACGAGGAATAGAACATTCTCGAATCTTGCGTGAAGGTGGCACATAGCAAGGCGACGCTCACCTCTTTCAGGAGGCACATCGCTGCACGAGCCGCGTCAAATGACGTTGGAGATCCGGTTGCATCGCTGGGGGGGCTGAGGGGCACGCCCTTGACGAGCCCCAGCTGTTGCTGAAATCGACGATATTTGATTTTGCGAAGCGGATGATGGAAGACATTCAGGTCGAGGGAATCGACTGGCGTAGACTCCCTGCTACAATCAAGGACGTCGGCACATCTCCTGTGAAAAAGAACGATCTCAAATGGGAGCTGAGCGACGTCTATACAAGGTTCCCTAAAAATGTCCAGGGGTGTATGTGGAATAACGGAGATACAGGGAGAAGGCGTACCATCAAGATTTAGCCGAAATTTTACAATAGCAACAATCGGAGATTAAATGTGATGGCAGAAAACTGCCATCGAACTTGTATAAGTGTATGTGGTTTGGTCACCGTCGCGTTGCTTGCCCGCAGCAAACGGTGCAGCCTATGAGATACCTACTCGAAATTTCTTAAGTTTACGTGTAGTTTATGCAGCTATCTCTTGCATCTAGACTAATAGTTTACCGGCGCACAGACCAACCCAATTTTACCTGAATCGCGAGCTCCGCGGGCGGCGCGGCAATCAGACCATCATCTTCTCGAGGCGAGGGACGTCGGTCATGCCCGTCCCGGCTCCGTGGCCCTCGTCGCTGCGCCGCGTACGCTGGCATGCTATCCAATGCTTTGCGGTCAACGTGCAGATAGTAAGATGTTGCCGAACACGTCATCATGATGCGTTCATGTTAAGTTCGCATGCATACGTTGGACATAGCAGCAATAGGATGCAGCCCACCAGGCGAGAACAAGCTGTGCTATATTCTGCACCACATGTGCAGTTTGCACCGCATGCTCGCAAGATTTCTTCTGTTCCGCTTCTCGGGACGACCATACGCCTTCGACGTATCCACCGAAAGATCGTGACTGTTCGCGGTACAGCAATAGTTGCTGCGTTCGGTCTACATTGATTGATGGTGTACAGATCAATTACATTCCGGTCGGAGCCCGTAATGTCTCCCTCCTCTAAGCCCCGCAACCATGCTCCCGATCATAGCCGCCCCCTCCCTCCACGACGTCGATGTCGGAGGAAAAGCAAACAACGCAGCAGCGTGCAGTCGACCTGACATGCACGTTTCACTTCAGATTTTGTTTGCTGTAGGAGTCGCAGGATTTGAATGCGCATCCAACCGTACATAGTAGTGAATAAGCAAGCAAAATCTTCCCGTCACTTTACCTGGGGAAACAACCCCCTGGCGCTCGCCAGCTCTTGCAAGCGCGTACGCTCGCGAGCGCGACAGCGAGAGAGAGACACACACACAGCAACAGGAGGGGGTCATCAATCGCAAATATCCACGTAGGGTACCCGGGTTCCTGCTCATTTTTAGCTGTCGTCCCCCTTGCTGCCCGTCGCAAGGATGCCTCGGAGCTGTACATATAAGCAAGGCGCTGCGCAGTGAGCGTTGCGCAGGCCGTGTCTTTCTCCTTGCCGTGCTCCTCTCACCGTACCTTCCGGCAAGCAAGGCTTGGTCTTGGGCCCAGCGTTCGGCACGATCGCAAGCGCCTCAGGCGCGGAGCATATCTCGAATCTCGAACGGTTGGACAGCTCAACACACGTCACCTTTCCCCGCACCTCGCATCAACGCAAGGGCATGGCTGCACAGAGGGTGAGTTCGAGCACGTTGAGCAATCCACATAGATGGCGAGAGGTATGAGAAAGAACTCAGAGTTCCACATCAAGATTGCTGTGTGTGCAACAGCAGCAGTCAACCCGTCTTGTCAAAGATCAAAGACTACCATATGGTATGAAAGAGCTGAAACGGCTTTTTTTCGTGTATGACGTCCAACACGTGATGTGGTGCTGCTTGGTCCCAACCGCAAGGAAAAGGTTGTTTCATTAAGAAAAAAGAAAAAGAAGAAAATTGTGTATGAGTTTCAGCTCAGATAGGCTGCGGCAAATAAGATTTGAGCCTCAGTTGATGAAATATGCATACAGGTGTTTCTGACGAGCGGGCCGGTACTGTATGGAATTAATACTTCAGGAGCGTCGATCATTCTGCAGGGTAGGTATGTCAGGCTTCTTTCCCGTGGTCTACGCATTTTTAGGGTAGGTATGTCAGGCTTCTTTCCCGCGGTCTACGCAGTTTTTTCTAAGCGAGCAAACATACTGGATAAAGCAGAATCGGCTAAGTCGGAGGTTAGTGTTAGCGCTCCTCCAACTCGTCATGAGCCAACAAACGAGATTGATCCCTTCGAGAGGGTTTGCACCGTCTTGTCTTCACGTCTGTACACCACACGGGATTGATTGTGCTCGAGACGGGACGTCGCTCGCGCAGGAGAGCTCCGCCGCCACCGAAGGGGTTGCACGAGATGTGATTCGAAGTAGTCACCGCTGCAGTGCAACGTACTTGATGTGGTATACAGAGTACAGCAAATCCAATACCCTACTACACTCGGACATATTGATTTCTCTTGATATTGTGTGTATGTGATCGCTCATGCTACATGTCGAAGCACGTGAGCAGTGCGGCAAGGTCGTGGGTTTGGTTATGCGCCAGCAATGCGTTGTTAGATGAGACAGAGCGAGATAAGAAGAGCCTGTTGTTTTTCCGGATGAGAACTGCACAATTTCTTATTTTCGCCATTTCTCCATTTTTTCACCATCCAAATTGCACAATTTTTTTATAAACGCCATTTCCTTTTCCACGGTCACGAAGCTTTGCACTCCACATGCGACCAGAACGTGTCGTCGATGGGCTTGTTAGCCCTCACGTGCTCCTTGATGAAATCTTTGTGGCTGCTCTCTTTTGTGTAGCCGGCATCAACAAAGCTCGACAATCTCTCGAGGTTGCCGATGGATGCGTCTGAAAGCGGCATTGCCTTCCTTGGGCATGAATAACACAAGTTTTGGTGCAGAGTGGCCCGCATCCACGGGGTTCCGTCGATGCAACCTCAAGGAGACGCACCCTACTTGCGGCTATATAGTAGGTCCCCGGCCCGTTGTACCCCGCCCGTTGCATGCGCGCGGAGGCTTTCCTTATTTCCTGCGGCCAACGTTGAATCCTCGGTTTCCTTGTGTCTAGGAAGTCGAAATTTTGCTATTTCTCGTTGGTCCATTTCTTACCACTCTCCGTCAAATGAGCTCCATTTCTTAGGCACTTTTTCTTAGTTTTTCAAGATTCTGAGCCTCGATTTCTTACGAAGGTGTTTCTTACGAGCGGACCGGGCACTGTACATGAATCATTGCTGTCGACGATGAATGCCGTAACCACAGAACGTCTACGCAAACGCTAGATATCTGCACGCCATTTGGCAGCACTGCCGCACTGCCACTACCGACGAGTTCCCGGCCAACACCGTGCTCTCCCCGTGTCGCCTACACCCACTTCGACCCTGAAAGTGGCAGCAGACATCCAGATCAGGCCATCGGCGCGGCAATCCAGTCAGAAAGAGGAGCCAAAACGACGTTGCAGCAGCAGCAGCAGCCGTAGCGGTTATCGGAGCGGCGGCGGCGATGGGGTTGTTTTTCTTGGCATCTCCGGAGATGGTGGTTTTCGCGAGCAATGGCGGCGGCGGGCGGATAGTGGGCACAGGAAAGAACGGCGGTGACGGCGGGCCAGCAGCAACAGCAGCGGCAGCAGCAGTAGAAGCAGCAGCGGCAAAGCTCGTCGATACGATGGTGATGGTTGACGCGGGCAGCAGCGGATGCCGCCTGAACGTGTATCGGTTGGACGGAGAGGTACGAGAGTTGCAGCACCAGGGGGTTCGACAGATGGTGGCAGCATAGCGGCGGTGGTTGTGCATGGCGCCGCTGGTCTGGTGTTGATTGGGTGTCGATATGCAGCGGTGGATGTTTTTATTTCTGTTGTGTGATAGTGGCTCCATAGTCTCAGTTGTGTCGTGTCGTTGTCGAGGGTGGTTGTTGTTGTCGTCGTTGTTGCCGGGTTTTTTTTACATGTTCGTGGTATGTTGTTCTTTGTGGTTTGAGGGGGTTTGTTGTCAGGTGCTGGAGGAGAAGAGCGGTGTGACGCGGTGGCCGTAGCGCCGTCTTGTCCATGATACGCCTCTGGAGTTCGTGTGCCGAACGTGTTTTTTTGTTGTTGATGGGAAACCAACAACAATTAAGGTTCCGTGGTCATTTGCCGTTAAGATTGGATACACACAAGAAACATCATCAGCAACAGAGCCACCCCATCATCACGTTTTGGAGTTATCGCTACTAAAGCACGCAAGCGAACACGCTACGCCTTGTCTTCACCAAATATCGTTTCTCCTCGGGCGCCTACACTGACGACGCCCCCCCCCCCCCCCCCCCCCCCCCCCCCCCCCCCCCCCCCCCC